AAACCTGATGTTCCTCTGACCAATTTTCGCGCTTTCTTCGCCACTTCTACACTATTCTGAACTATCACTTCCATTATTCGTTTGAAACTAGCTAACCCAAAGTCAGATTAAACTGTGCCTTGGAAATCCCTCAAACTACTTCTTGGAAGAAAGAAATAATTCTTATGAATACAGTACGCAAACCATCTTTCACCATAGATCGATTATAATTTGGAATTTTTACATTTGATCCCCGGTAGACAGCTTTCCATCGGACTTTAGAGGAATCATCAAGTCAAACTGTCAATTTTTTTTCTTTTTAAAATGTTCAATATTTCAATATAAAGTCCTTTCCTTATGCTTAATGTTATAACTGACAGTTCCTGGTGAAGGAATGTGATTGGAATCAAACCGCATACTGTAACTGATCAATATATCGATTTTTAGGGCGCCGACCATGCCAAGGAGTATGGATGTACGCTTGCGCAAATGCGCAGCCTTATGGAGGCACGTGGAGCTGAGGCTATCGTCAGGGTAAGAAAGTCACGAAGTAGCTATTTCTGATTATCTCAAAATAAAAACTTTCCTTGGACAGGAACGAAGTCCTTTTTTGTGTCAACCTTTATTAATAGTAAATTCAATTTTCATTTTTCGATGTTTCTAATTCAGGATGTGGATATAAATATACGTTACGTAAATACATAATTCATATAGATAATTATACTTGCTGTTATAATGGTCATAATAGGAAAAAAACCGTTGTTTGGCTATAGTGGACTATAGTGATAGTAAGTGATAATAGGTGATAAATTTCGATATCATAATATTAACTGTATAGACAGTTTGTTCTTCATTGTAATGGAAATTGGGCACGTGCGACGTTTATATTTACAACTTCGCTTCAAATTTAATTGATAGCCACACCCAACGCCCACTCACTTCACAAGTGATGGTAATTCGCTGTGATCTCCCATATGTTTAGCGACGGAATAGTAAATTGGCTGAAGGTGTCATGTTGTATACACATAGATAATGGGATTGATTACATTTTTGCCACTTCAACCCTTCCCTTATGTAATCAATAACATTTGTAATGCGCCATGTACATACTCCTCGTTACTCTGATTTTTCGCAACGATTGGTTGGGTATTTTGTCTGAACAGCAATCCGGGAAGACCGGGTCACTACATGAACCCGGTATCAGTTAGTCTATCACGAAAGAAATCTGCCGGATCCGATTTTTCGAATGATCGGCGCAAAACGTCCTACCTATTGCGCTATAGCTTCCTTTCGGAAATATCGGTGGTAGGAAGTTACTCGTCTGAACTTTTCAAATCCACCCGGAACCGGTTTCAAAGAGGAAGCAGTACAACAATGATAATAATAACAATAAGGATAAAATATTCATGGGCGTTTTAGCACCTAAAAGTTAACATCTGTGGCAGTGATCTCGTTTCAAATGAAAACTAATTTCAAACTAGCTCTCGCCTCTGAATAGGACATACCGTATCCAGAGATTTGAGTGGTAGTAGTAGTCACAGAGCTGAGTTTTTTTGTACTGAACTGAACTGAAAATCGGAAACTATCTGTAACCACAATGTTGGTCTTTCGAAGGGAGTCCTATTAAATTCCCAGGAAGGGAGAAAATCACTGGGAAAATGTGCCAGCTTAATGTGTAATACTTTTCCCAGATCTTGCTGGACCATCGGACCTAATCACTGGATTTTCTTGCAGTTATCGACAGAACATGACGGTGTCGAAGGTCTATGCCAAAAATTGAAAGTAGACCCGGTACGTGGTCTACCGAACAACCCAGCCGAGCTTGATCGTCGTCGTGCGGCGTTCGGAGCCAACACAATCCCACCAGCAAAAAGTAAAAGCTTTGCACGTCTTGTTTTCGATGCCTGTCGTGTGAGTTGTGTTTTCATTAAATGGAGAAGGGAAGTGCATGAATGAATTATTCCGAGAAAGGGTTTCGTTTCAGGACCCAACGCTAATTATTCTTGTTGTATCTGGCTTTGTAAATTTGGCGCTCTCTTTTTACGAACCTGAAATGGAAAGTCCCGTTGACGAAGATTTGCTCACAACAACCGCTGCTTCAATTGTTGGCGGATTTTTCTCGAACATTACACTAGGTGAGGTCTTTAGATACTAATTTTTCCTCGTCATTACGATATGATCTATGGTGTTGATGAAGGGAAATACTCCAACCATAGAAAGCCAGATTTTTAAAGCTTAATGGTCGACGAGAACGGGATGCTACAGATTTTTTTTTCTTCTTGGAGTCTACCTTCCCCATGGTATCTTGCAGAAGAGCAGATTCTTTTGTCAAGTGATTGATGTTACGGTGGTTCCCTTGGCAGACAGGTACTTACCGGAATAGCATAACAATGGTTTCCACCTATGAGACGATTGTGGAAGCAGTATGGGTGGTTTAGCCACGCCCCCATTGGGAATACACAATGTGAACCGTTGATCGACAGATAGGAGAAGGTCATTGATCGGCCAACATGTTGACAGAGAGAATTGAACCATCTCATCATATGAAAACTCTGAGTCAGACATCATAGTTCATGCCTTACCCAGAAGAGTACACAAAAACAAAAAGCAGGACGATTCTCTCTGAATTTCCTTTAAGTTTAGGAAAGAAGGCACAATTCATGAATATTTAGTCTACTTTTATTGGGTTACAGGGCGAAAGTGTTGACGCAGAGTAGTTCATCGCTGGGGAAAAAATGAAAAATTCGCATCAACCTCTAAACGAAACATCCTTTTTGATTCAATACTATCTGAGGCTGAACGGAGTCATGACGACCAAAGGTGTTACCAAAGGTGTTTCGGACAAGATTTCATTCGCTGCAGAACAACGTGTGCTAATGTTAGGTGTACATATATCAGCCAACAGTATCATCAACAAACGTGCTTCATTTCGAATGACAGCCTCTGCAAGGCCATTCATGGGATCATCGAGGAGAGTTGT